TCCAGCCTGAGCCCTCAGAGTCATAATTAAGGAAGAGATCATTGTAGAGAATCAGGCCACCTCCCTCAGTATCACCAGTACCTACTGCTGGGCAATTGCTCCCAGGACAGCTAAGCCCAGGAACCTGGGAGTGGCCCATGACCACTGTTACTGGTCCCAGCCATCATCTGGGAAGCAAACCCTCTTGGAGCTGTGGACTGGCAAATGCTTCTGTGAGGGCTGTGGCTACAGCTACTGAAAACCCAGAAGAGAAAGCTTTTGACGCCAAAATCCTTGCCCCTGTCAAATGGTTCAATATCAGAAACTGACAGGATTTTATCAGTGGAGATGACATGCCACTGCTTTGCCTCCGCACCCCAAGAAATATGGGATCTTTCCATCTGCCATGCAGCTGAAACCTTCTATATTGGCTCTCTTCCTTATTGGAATGTGAGTACCCTGAGAACAGGGACTGTCATACTTTTCTGTGTGTATCCCCAGTGCTTTGGACACAATAAGTGCTTAATAAATGTCATTCATTCATTCATTCATTCATTCGTTGTGTTTCCAGCCTTATCAAAGAATACTCACCTTCACTACCCTATTTTATAACCAAACTCAATATTCACTGTCTCACAAACATACCTTAAAAAAACCCCTCTTTGCCTTCGATCATACTGCTCCCTATGCTTGGAATGCTCTTCTCTTCCCCTGTATGGCTACTGAATTTCTACCCTTCCTTTAAAGCCCAAGCCAAATGTTACCCCTTCTATGATGATTTCCTTCCCCTCCAAGTCAATAAAGACCTTCTCTCTTCTCCCATCCTTCCCCCACTCCCTGGACCTCACATGACATTTTGCTTATAGCTATATAATATACTTCTTATATCTTCGAGTAACCTCATCTTAAAAGTTCAGTTTTCTTTGGGTTATAAATTACTTTGGTTATAATCAGAATGGCAAGTAACCTATAGGGCAAGAGGAATATGCCCAATGGTTATACGTAGGTTGAACCATGTCATTAGTGATGAGTGGTACATGAGAACTGGCATGGAAGTCAGGCATCTTGGTCCCAGAAAGCAGAGCTGTGAACAGTGGATGAAGTTCAAGAGCTGGATGTAAGGAAAAACTTCCTAACATTTACTGTTTTCTTCAGACACAACAGTGGAGTCCTGGAGACAGTGGGGTTGTAGGCATGGGTTAGACTAGATGATCTCAAAAGCCCCTTTCTACTTGGAGAGTCTGATTCTCTGACATCTATAACCAGAAAAGGAGGTGAGCCAGTTAGGGAGTGAGGAAATATAACAATTGGAAGTCCTGGGTGCTTCAAGGGAAACACTAGGATATTATAAAAGATTGGGAGATAATTTCTGGCCTGAGAAGATAGGGTGATGCTCTTGGAGATGGGAAGATCTGGGTTCAAATCCTACCTCAGAAACTTACTAGCTATGGGACTTTAGCTCATTTAACCTTTCAGAGTTCCAGACAGCTTTCTTAAGACTAAAAGCTGCAGAGTAGGGTGCTGAACTACATTGAGAGAGGGAGTTTCCTTACTGCTAGTTCTTTACACCAATGAAACCACAGGTCCCTACCAGGAAAAAATGCATTTATGACATGTAGGATGTGAGGGACCAACTTGAAAGGGAGATGACATTCCTTGGGGGGTTTGGCAGACATTATGATGAATAGATTTTTGTAATTTGGGCATACAAAGCATTTTGAGCGGCCTCTTTCCAGTGCAGTGCAAACAGTAAGCTATATATAAGGACTGAGTCAGAGTTTACTGAATAGGGCCCTTGGTAGCTAATTCCCCACTTCTCCAACAAATCAAAGGTATTGTTCTAGGCTCACATGAATATACAGTGGCCATTACCTTAAATTTAAAACTCGTGGCGTCTAGTACACACACACACACACACACACACACACACACACACACAGAGTACAGATATGAAGGCTGTATTGTATCCCTGCAGTCTGCAGAGACTTTGTGTGGTTTTGCCTCAGTAAAATATATTTGCAGTTGGAAGCTAAAGGGATTACTTTTGAATAGTCATCACAGAGGTTGATTATACCCGTATATCATTTAGCCGGACCCTGCAGGCTATAATTCCATTAGTGAGGCTGAGCTCTGCTATTGTCAAAAAGTTGATCACCTAGTGCTAAAAGGCTGGACTTTCCACCAACCTTATCAAAATGATTCAGAGGGCGATTATTAACAAAAGTAAAACACAAATTATGTTCTATGAAATTGATTAGGGGGCAAATACACTTTTACTACACCTAGGAAATGTTCAAATGCTGAGAGTAACTATGTGCATCATGCTGCTGTTATTAATGGGGAGATTAGGTTTTAGTTTGGTAGTTGAGATTTTATTTAGAGCAGTAGATTCTGCTTTAGGAGAATAATACCTCTCCCTGCCAAGAGCTGAAGAGTCTCCGAAACTCCTCTCTGAAGTTGGTTTTCCTCGGTATAATTCAATCACATTACACTATCTCTTTGGAAGGTGGCACCATATATCAATGATGGTAAATCAGTCCTCTGAGAACAGCCTAATTAGAGAGTGGCTTTACAAGGCAGCTATGCTGTGGAAAACAACAGCAACTCTCCAAAACAAAACAAAAAAAGTCCAAAAAAGAAACCCCAAACCCCAAGCTTTATTTTGAGGAAAACCTGTCAGTGGGGCTTGATAATCAGAAAATCACTTCCCAGGGTTGAATAAATATTTAACTTGGTTTACTCTTCAGATATCAGCCAGTTTCACTGGCTTAATCACAATAATGGAGGAACATAAGGAATGAGTTTAGATGTATTTTTTGTAGATCTCCAAAATATACTGTCAAGTTAATATACTATTAATTTAAAGCATGACCAACATGACCCTTGCTCTATGGGCTTATGAGTACTGGGTTCGATTTTGATGGCTTCTTTTCAAAATCTCTTTGGCTCACGCCTCTGTTCAGGATTTCTCTTGGGAATGTCATTATTTGGCTAATGTCTCTCTAAGGGCCCTTAGCTCCCACACAAGCACTCAGGCTAACAAACCATCAAATACAGGATGAGTTTTTTTAACTCGGCAGAAAATGCAACGGTCTTATATCCTAGCCCATAAACAGTCAAGATGACTCCTCTTCCTACTTTGGTGGTCCTTTACTTCTATCTCCCCAAGGACCTATATAGTTGTTTCAACAAACATTACTTTTAATACTTACTATATACTATGTACTATGCGAGCTGCTGGGACACCATGAACATACAAAGAAAAAAAAAGTTGCTCAAAAAGTTTACGTTCTATTGGACCCTGCTTTATCAATCATCCTTTCTCTCCTAAATCTGCTGGCTTTTTTTCCCTCTCAGTTCTCATTTTATTTGACCTATCTGAAGCTGTTGACACCACCGTCTTTCTCTTATTCCTCGGCATCTATGAACCTGCTATTTTGCTCTTCTTCTCTCTGCTTGCTTTATCTCAGTCTCTTTTCCACTAAGCATGGGCTCTCCCACTCAGGGCAGAACAAAGGCCATGCCAAAATGGTAATAAGGACCCAGGATGAGGTTACTTCCCACCTTATCAAAGAATTCATACTCTGTCAAGGAATCAGGAGGAGAAAAAGAAGAGATTATCCTGTTCCTCTTGGGTCATGTATGCCTAGGCTATGACGGATAAGCTTGAATCTTGCCCTGATTTATTTGGGAGGTAACTATCATAAATAAATTATTGGATCAAAGTATGCCTTTAGATAAAGAGATATTTTGAGATGTGACTGACTGAGTTGGAAATGTTATCAGATTTTTTTATTTTTAAAAGAAGGGTCTTGTCTTTTGTATACAAAATGAGGATAGTGAATACCTAGCAATTAGGAATGCACTTTTGGACTAGTTTTTCTAGGAGTGGTGATGGATTAATGATGATCCTTTCTTTTTCTGTGACTGGCTAGGGACTGGGTTCAGTCCTTTCTCTCTTTTTATACAAATTATTTTAATTTTTATTTAGAACTTAACACCAAATAGAATAGACATTTGCATGTACATCATAGTAGAACAGAAAAAGATTGCACATGAAACTGCAGATCTCTATTATATATAGTTTGTTTTTCTTTTAAAGTATATAATAAGGACAACTTAATAGCTTTCAAAGTGGTCCTTCTTGTCTGGCCTTTCTTCTGCTCTTTTCTCTCCATTGGGAAAAAAACACCTCTTTGATTTTCTTTTCTTCT